CTTTCCCTGTAAACTGATTACTACAATGCTGATAAGGTATAGGACATAACTTTCATGTCAGGATCTAAACAAGTAATGTCTACATCTGATGTTCTTAGAGGGGAAAAAGTATGTTTGAACTTTATTATACCTAAAAGATCACCCAGATTTTTACAACATCTTTATATAGTAAATATAAGCATTAAATTGAGATGCTGATTCTCTTTTATATGGCATCCTGTATGAAATATCTGATAGGTATACTCTACATAAGCAGTCTGAAATGCTGAACTAAACTTTAATAGCATGATATAAAAGAGGTCATAATCTGTTGCCAAAACAGTTTTTTAGGCATTTCATTTATGTGATATATCTAATAATATTTTCAACATAGTGTTTGTTGTTAATTTAAAGTAAATTGTGTTGTCTCTGTAAGCTAAAAATACTTGAACATACAATGATTTTCACATATTTAATACTTTCATGCAGAATTGTCTGCTTCTGTGAAATGTCCCCAGTGAGGTAAAAAGAAATCTTGATTACAAGCAGCGCTGAAACTGTCAGGATTTTCTAGCTCATTTGCCATGTTTTGTGTCCTGATTTAAATTAAAGGCAACTAGCTATGAACTTTTAGTATTGCATTCTTGAAGGAACTGCTAAAAGTAGAATCTTAATGGTATTTCCTAAAGGTGATTGGGAATGTCTAAGAAATTAGAAAGGATTCTGAGGAAAAAGATTATATGTACATTATATAAAGTCATCTATCACGATCATATGATGAATTCTTCTGAAATCTATTCAGTAGGAAGCTTGCTTGTGCTTGCAAATTCCTATCTACAGTGACTTAACATAGGAAAATCAATGACATTAATGGAAAAAAAGCCCAAAATAATGCTTTGGCCAAATAATCCAACTACAAAATGCAGTAGAGTAGCAGATCTTTTTCTAAACTGCTCGAGTCAGAGGTGCCATCTCTTAGGTGCTATGCCCATTTTCCTCTCATTGGAAGAGTTGAGGACTTCTTTTGCAACTTTGGACATTCTACATCGGGGTTGAAAACATAATTAGCTATAAAATTGGGAGAAGGGGGTTGCTTTTTGAAATGAGGGCTTTTCACATTTTATTTTTAAAAATATTTCACAACTTTTTATTTCTTAAAATGTCTGGGCTTCATACTGGCAAAATGCTTACATGTTGATGTAGCTTAGAATTTTTAAGTATTGATTTAGCTTAAACTTAGAAAAAAATTGTAAGGATATTTTCTTCATGAAAATTTTTGTATAACAAATTCATTGGTGAATTACAGACTAAAGTCCTGAAAAGAGTAAATCCACATCAGCCAATGTTCGTGCAGATTGTAACAAATGATCCATACAAGTTTCGTGTGGAAACTCTTTACTTTTTTGCTCATGCAGTTGTTAGCTGCCAATGTTAAGTGCATTAATATTTAACTTGGGAATTGTTTTTGAAAGAACAGCACCTTCTTCTGTTTGTTTTGCTTCATTAGAGGTTTAAAGTTAAATCAACTGTAAGTGCTAATAATTCTTTTGGAAGGAAACTAGTGACCTGTGAAATATGTTGATGCATGTAACTGGGAGCAAGTTTTATTATGAAACACAAAAATACAATAATTGCAAATGTATTTAGCAGTTTCAGGGTGGGGGATATTTTATTTACGGTTCATCTAGTCAGATGTTTTTCTAAAAATAAAAACTATTTAAAAATCACTTAAAATCCCTTCAACTTTTACACCATTCACCTATGTTTAAACTTTCTTGATCTGCGTAGTGCATACTTTCACATTTGCATAAAATTAATGCCAACGTATGTTGTTGTAAAATAATTCTTTTATATTTTACAGTACTGCTATTTATGTTACTTCTGTTTCATTTCAGTGCTAAGCCCGAAGGTAATAGGCATTGCCATAGCCAGGTATGACTTCTGTGCAAGAGACATGAGAGAACTGTCCTTATTGAAAGGGGATGTCGTAAAGATTTACACAAAGATGAGTGCAAATGGCTGGTGGAGAGGCGAAGTAAATGGAAGGGTAAGGTTGTGTTTTGTTTTATTTTTTTCTTTTGTCTCATTTCTGCCTTCACTGACCGTGATTTTGTAAAATGATAAGGTGTGCTGCTACATCATAATACTTATTTGTATATTTAAATGCACAAGATACAATACGTTCTCATCTGTGTTTCGTAGGATCCAGGCAGAGTTCTTGCAGGCAGCTTTCCCAGCATCTAAATTAATTGGCTGTTAATGCAACCTGCCAGGCTGGGTATTTGGGCAAGATTATATGGTTGGAAAATAACCAGCATTAATAGCACAGCTACTGCTGAACTTTCTTGAACTGTGTTGCACACATATATTTGGGGTCAAATGCTCCAGTTCCTGGTGCTGTGGAGGTCTGTTTTGCAGTTTACCACAGACTGATTTCCACATCTTTCTGCCAGACTATAATGCAATGGAGTCATCCACCTTTTTTTTTTTTTATAGGAGGCTGCTTCTTTGATCTCTTAAAATGTGGCTCATAAGAAGTGGGATATTTAGCAGGGATTTTTACAAAGTCATTTTACATTGCATTCTGAGACTTGCATGGGAGTAAAGTTTCAGTTTTGACCTATAAAGGCTATATTGTTTCAATTTTAGTATTTTACACGTTAATGCAGATTAGTCAGGAGTGTTTGAGTCTGCTGTTTCCATGTATAAAGGGCTGACATGTAGGGTCAATGAATGCAGGGCAGAAGAAAGTAGATTGCTGGAAACTTGAAATGATAGATGCTAGCATCTTTCTGATAGCTTTCACAGCCTGGACTTGAGATTATAAGCTCATCTCTGTAGATATTTTAGCAAGGTAGTATAAAACAAAATTTATGCTGTTACTCCTCCCAATCATGTTCTACATTTGACTTTGAGGTCTTTCATGAGTGTTAAATTGACTTGATATGAAAAGTCTGAGTGAAAAACCTAAAGCAAATAGGTAAGATGATAAGAAATATATGACACTGCTTCCCTGTATGTTTTATATAATCCTTATTTGACACATCATTAATTCCAGAATGGAGATAGCATTATAACTTATGAAGTGTTGAAACACTGGACTCTGCTTTCCAGTTCTGTCTTACTTAAAACTCCTGTTGGTGGCAGTGAAATTTAACTCCGTGTAATGCAATCAAATCAGTCACTGTTTCCTTTATAAGAGGATTCTCTAGACCTGACTGAAGCCTGCTAGATATTTAGCTGCTCATTCAAAAAATAGCAGCATCCTGCCTGTAGTAAAACTACTTCTGCTCTTGGCACTTATAGACTTTTTTCTGAATGCTTAGACTTCAGATTTGGTCAAAAGTGAGATAGTTTATTTTTTTTCTTTGAGTGGGGGGAGAGGGAAGCAGGAAAGGGAAGGGGCTTAGTCTCCAAATCATCTTATCTGCAAATTATTCTTTTATTTGGGGTACTTAACCCTAACGTTGCACGTCAGTCAACTTCATCTTTGTAATCTTATTCTTATGTTTACTGAACAGACTCACCCTTGTTTTGCCTACTTCAGCCATTTATAAAAAAACACCCTACAACTGTACATCTCGTGTAATATTTTGTTCTGCTTTTCCCCTTTTTAGGTGGGCTGGTTTCCATCAACTTATGTTGAAGAGGATGAATGAATTAAAACCTTTCCTCTGCTGACCAGCAGTTTCAGGGATTGTAAAAATGTACTATCTTCAAAGGGTTATTGGTCTTGTTAAGTATTTAAACAGCAGCATTTTTGTCTGCCTGAACCTTCCAGTCTTAATGTTGGGATTTATACAGAAGTTTGTACTGACAGATTATTACCTTGCCCAGAGCTGTGCAAGAAACAACCTGAAGGTTTGCCATCACTGGGGATCAGTACAAAGTCCAACCTTCACCTTCCCAGAAGATCCCTGGAAAACAAATTTCTTTATGTTCCTTTTCATTTCACCCTGTACTACACCATGAATACTATGAATATTATTCAGTTATGGCTGAATATTTAATAAGTCTTTTTTCTTCTAGCTAACATCTGTGATGGTACAAGGAGATGAAGGCTTATTATTCCTTATCACTGCATGCGGAAAACAGAGTTCAGTCATTCCAGTGGACATAAAGTATAGTCAGTAGACTTGTCTTGAAACATCAAACTAATTATCACCTTACAAACAGTTTTACACTCACAACAACATTCTGAAGGAAATATATAGTAAATATGAGTAGCATTCATGCATATATGATTAGTTAACTGACCACTCTTTGGTCCTGCCTAAATCCTCTAACAATTTGTTTAAAGACAACATCTTAAAAAGGTGTAGTGATGTGCTATGGCTTGAAGAAACGTCCACATAGTGTAATTGTGGGATCCTTTCTTTGTTATCCCAAGTCTTTGTGTGAGGTTTTTTTATTTAAGCAGGTGACATAAAAGTGTAACTGAGGATAGTCATGACAATATAAGTTTTAAAATTTTTAGCATTAAACAAAATTGTAGATCTATTCTGTAGGAGAATATACTAATGCAAGATGATGCCACTTCTCAAGAACAAAACTCATTATCTTAGACCCTTGATTGATTCAAATGAGCTTTGATGCTTCCAAGTCTAAACTGTCTTTTACTACTTAGACAGGAGTTTGTATCACCTTTTGTGCTCTTATAAGGTAATGCAAGGGCACTTCTTTGTGCCCTTTGCTCTCTTGTTCCCTAGGATGTTAATGGCAGTTCAATGAGTGAGTGGTCTTGTTTCAGTGTTATGAACATCCCCAAGGAAAAATGTGTCTAGGTTAGCTAGCTTGAAACATCAGGCCTTGTAAACTGGTGTCCACCCTTTGGTGAAGCAGTGTTTTAATGTATTTATGGAGGATCAGAAGTGCTGGAGCTATAAGCAAAAATTAATGTGGGTGATGTCTTCAGATGTGCAGTTTTGAATATTTAGATAATGTCTAACTTGACTTGAAAATTTCTAAGAAAATAAAACTTTTTCTTGCTTAGGGTAATGTTGACTAATCAAGAAAGTTAATTTATCCTATCCCACATCCTCTCTTTTGCTTTTCCCTGTCCTCTTTTCACATAGGCATCTTGCAGTTAGCGTACATAGACACTGCATGATTTAACACTGCAGTTTTCCTACTCTACAAGCAATGTAATATCCACTGTTCATCCACAGAGCAGAATTTCCTAGTACATATTTCAGATTCTCTTGTCTATCCCCAGTGCCCTTTGCTTCTTTCTGGCCTCCTTCTGGCCATCAGGAAGAACCAAGCACAGCACAAAGGATTCACAGTAATCTCCTTCGTCTCTGCAACCATCTTACCCATATGCTCCTAGCATACACTGCTGTGTGACCAAGTGCAAGAGAGGATCTTCTAATTGGAAATTCTCTGCCTGTGAGATTCAGCCTTGCAGATGAAACTCTGCTGATGCTGTAACTTTTCAAGGATTTACCTAAAATTTATGTAAACTGTGATTGTGTTGAGTACATTACTTGATGGAACAATTGAGAGCATTTGTAAATATGTAGATTATGCATAAAGCATATTTTGTAAATGATGTGTACAGCAGTGTAGACTAGGGTATACTGTCTTAGATCATGTTTTGCCATGCAGTTTTGTCTGTTGTGAGCCTGATCCTATGTTCCTTAAGCAGACAAAGTTGATTCTTTCACAGTTTTGCCTGCTCAAGGGGTAAAGGAATAGGCTCTAGGCCTGTGAACTGTTTAGTGCTTTGCCTTCATATAGTTCTGCGAAGAGGCAGTCCAATTCAATACAAATTGAGAAATACATCAGCCATTTTTAACAGCTTGGTTATAGAATAATTTTGAGTAGTCTGTCCATCCTAAAGTTGCTATAAAGCTTTTAAGCAATTCCTGAGTCCAGTTATCAGCCTTTGAGAAGAACAAAAGCCATAGCAAAACTTACTTTTGTAGCATAAAGCTACATGTCATTGTCTGTGTTTAATGCCTTGTTTTGATTGTGTTAATGCTGCATCTTAAACTATATATTTTGAGTACCAAAGACTTCCTAAGTATTCTGGAGTGTCTCTTTCATGTGCTGCTTTTGCCTGTATGGAGGTTTTGTTGTCATGCAATAATGGAGTTACAGTTCTGTAATTTGTACTATTTTGTAAATATGTTAAATATAATAAACTGGTTAATTTTTGTTTAATGGGATGTGTTAAAATGTGTAGTTGGCTGGTATGAAGGTTGTGCTTTGTTTGTCTAACCACTTCTCTTTATGAGTAGAAGTTGATAACGTTCTGTTTTGGTTTCCTGGATTTGTATAATCCTTGTTTAGTTGTAAAACTGAGCTGTCAGTGTGAATGGGGATAGGATAGCTTTCCTTGAGAGCATCCTATTGTTGGGACAATTTGACTTCTACCACATCCAAGAAGATGGGTGGGGGTTTTTGGTTTGGGTTTTGGGTTTTTATTGTTGGGTTTTTTTGTTTGTTTGGTTTTTTTTGTTTTGTTTTTTTTTGTGTGTGTGGGTTTGTTTTTTGGTTTTTTTTTAGCTATAGAGAACATTGTGGAATTAGTCCTATACTGTCGACTTTTGTCTGTCAAAGATGATACCTGTAGTTTTTTGATTGCAAGGAAGTTGTTTTTAAAAAGTTTCTTTTTTATGTCATGTTTCGTAGAAATGTCCTTTCTCTTCCACTTTCTGCTTTCTCCCTCTGTCATATGTGAGTTAACATACAAATTCAGGTTGAATTGAGCTCAAAACTGAAAATATAGTCTGTGTCTAACTTCATGGGCTACTTGATAATTTTTTCATGGTGTAACCCATTCATACATTTTTTACAATATAACATTCATTATTAATATATTTATAAAAATATTTCTGGACAGAGGAATTAACTCAGCAAGGTCAGTGATGATACAACTGGGATGTTGCTTCATTGTGTCCCTTCTGTTTTTCAGTAGCAGAGATTTTCTTGTGGAACTGCCCTTCTAACAGATAATTATTAAACTTAATGAGGTGTTTACACATCTCTACAGATGTAAGGCATAATTTTCCTGTCACCCATGAACATATCACATAACTAAGACTCACACCTACTGTGAGATGCAAAAATGTTTCTCAATTAAATTCTCTTGTTAACAATATCACACTCAATCACAGACATTCTCCTTCCCCTTATATGCAAGAAGAGATGTGTGTCTTCTGATGGGTGAGAAATTGAGAAAGCACTGTAATTAGGGCATGAGAACCACTTGTGACTGTGTTCTGAGTAAGTTTTTTCAGTTGTAAGGCTTGGAAGCTTATTTGAAAATCTCAGCTTGAAAGAAATTAACTTGAACAACGAAAATTAAGTCAACCAAGATACCTTTCTCCTCTGCCTCGCAGGCAAACTCTAGATGCTCTATGGAGGAGCAAAAAAAAGTTGATTCTGAAGGTTTTACCAGTTCATAAAGGTGAGAGAGAAGTGCTGTCTAGAAATAAGTGGGTCTTGTTTATACAAATGCTCAGCCTCAGACCCAGGTTTTGTTCTGTTGACTCTGGTGTTCAGTGCAAAAATGTTTGTTTCTATTTCACGATCCGTATTCCCAACACTTTGGAAAGAGAGCTGCAAGGGCAGTATAATTTATACACTAGCACTGTCATACCATTTTGCCAACTGTATTGACACTACAGTAAATTAACTCTTGTCTCTTTGCTACAAACTGGGCTGCTGAGAGCCTTACATTACTATTTCATCTGAAATTCAAGTTCTTCTGTTCAGAGTTCACTGCTTATTCCATTGGAGTGAAGGACAAATCACTCCCTCTTCTCCATTTTATTGCTGAGTATGACATTATATGACATGGAGTATATCTCTCATTGGCTTGATCATCTACCTGGTTGTGTCCTCTCCCAGCTTCTGTTCACTGGGAGGGAGGACGCAGAGTAAAAGACAGAGAAGGACTTGATGCTATGCAATATTGTTCAGCAATAGCTAAAACATCAGGGTGTTGTCAGCACTGTTTTTGTCGCAGATCTAAAACACAGCATTGTAAGAGCTGGTATGGAGAAAGTTACCACCACCTCAGCCAGACCCAGTACAGCAGGCAGACGGGTAGAATGACAGGTGGAGATGCTGTGTGTGTATGTGCTTTACCATGCCACAGTAGTGTCTGTTCTCATCAAATTCAGGTAGGGTCATCACTGGCGTGTAACTTTGACTCTTGAAAGGTATTCATTTAAGATAACGTAGTTAATGCGTTTTCCTAGCCTTTCTTGATATGTACCATGGAATTTTAACTCTTACCTAGATGTCCACTGTATGGAGGAAGGGTGGTTCCGAGTAATTTTAACATCATAAAGCTGTGAGATGAGATGCTAATGATAGCCACTTTTTCACAAAATCCTGAAATGTGTGATGCATGTATAATTAACTAATAGAAATACAGAAAGGATTAAGCATCAGAAATTGACTGCAGAAGGGTGACTCATTGCATTATCTCAGCAATTTCCCTTTCAAGAACAAAGAGCTGTTTGTTTTTATAGCAAATGAGATTTGAGTTTCTAATTTAGTTTTATAATTCCTGATCTGCTGTAGTGTGTTCTGCCCATTCATTATAAGGATCTCTGCTGCTTACATGACTGTAAAGTTAGATTTTATTTAATAAGCCTCCTGAAATCTTTGAGTTATTGGTGACTTTTTCTGGGTTACAATTTTTTACCTGGTAATATGCTTTTCAGAAAATACGTGAGTTCGTTTTAAAATGTTGCAATCTGACCTGAAGTAAACTAACAGATATAACAAATGGCAGGTTCAGAGGTGTCTGTTTGCCAAGGGGTATGAGGCTGATTTGCTCTTTCAGAACCCTTTTTTTTTTTTTTTAATATTGTGTAATATGTGGCTTTGCAGAGATCAGAAATAGAGAAAGAAGAACAAGAAGTAAAAAGTTGATACCATACCATATGTGATGGAAACAATCTGGTGTGTGATAACTTTTCTAAATGATTGCCCAAGATATTAAATGTTTATTGGTAGCTTTGGATTGGAAATGGAAATTCTCTAATGCTTCTTTATCTGAAAACTTCGCTAATGTGTTAGAGGGATCAAGAACGCTTGGACTTGGTCCCAGTCTTACCAGATAGCTCTATAAACCTGTGTTCTGTTAATTTTCTTTTTTCCCCAAAGCAATTAAAAGGTTTCCTCAAGCAGATGCAATATTATTCCTA